ATTCATTGACATGTCAGTAGATTTCTACATGTGCACCATCAGAGGCTCTTGGCACGTCTAACCGATATTCGATTTCAGTCCACGTTCGCTGCAACATGTCCACGGTTACAGTGGCGATGGCGTCGGTTATCCCGATCTTCAGCTCCGTGATGTCTGCTATAGATGTGTGATACACGATATCCGGAACATACCCCCATATTTCTTTCCTGTACTTGTGTCTGTAATTATGCTGCACTACAGTCACCAATTTTGTCTCTGCAAGCCAAACAACGCATTGGGCCTTTTCTTGCACACTTGCCATTTTACAGGATAACACTACTCACTGTAGTGAAAAAACAACAACATGACAATAAAACTGTTTAAGTTGGGTTACAAGATGTTGAAAACTGCATGATTGTATGCCTTTAGTTATTTAATTATTAAATTTTAAAATAGGAATGATAGTTTTGGACCACTCTTTATATTACAGTGTGGTTAAGATTCTCTCTGGAGGGCGTGATGATAACAGCTTATGTAGAAACGATACGTTATTAATTCACAAGCTAAAACAAGAACTGAGTGAGTGACTTCGCCGATAAAACTTCTAACATGAATACAGAACAGAAGATTTGACTCAATTTGATATCCTGTCTTTGCGAAAAGTTAAATATACTTAAAGTTTACAATCAATAATAGGTATGATGAGAAAGCGCATGTTTTTACAAAAACATCAAGCAGTCCAAAATCCCCTCTTGGAACACACTAGTTGCGCTCTTTACCGTATCTGATAAGATTGGATTCAACAGTAAAACTATTGACGTGTAAAGATTTTATGCGATTTATTTAAGCGAAATGCAAACGAAGTTTAGTTGTGTTTTTGTTGTATTTTCTGTGAGTGAGAGATTCAGCAGATAATTAAAGAAATCGACAAAGAACGAGATGTGTGTGTGATACTGACACTGGCAGGTATAGTGGTTGTATTAGTCGACCTCTGAACACAAGCAGCGTCACACTTTGACATTTCTAAACAACAATGTATCCCACATACCAATTCGTGTTATACAAATACGCACGTAATTCACTTCTTCCTCGTGACATTATGGAAATGCCAAACCATTTACAATGCGAACCAACACAGACATGGCGATATATCCTGTTACTCTAACAGAGATAATACATTTTACACTGCTCCTTTGGTTCCGGCAATCCTCAAATACATGTAGTACTTTATTAACAGATATGTTGAAATTCAAAACAAACTACCGAGCTGGCTAATATACAACATACAATAAATGTGATATGGGTGACATTCGATGTTATTCTACTACTCCCTTGTCATTTCTATTGAAAAGGATGAAATTTTCGCCAGTTTTAAATGAATATGTGGCTGTTGGACATAGCAGTTAACAATAATTTGCTCTACATGGAAAAAAAATATATCGAGCTTACACCTTCATCACAGTAAATGTTGTTAAGCTGAAAGATCGCTGCATAAAAGTTTTAGAAAAGTCACGGATTGAACTAACTGAATACGTTAAATTTTATCCTCCCCCACACACTAGCACTTATGCTTACCCCATGTAACTGTCAATGACCTCAAAAGAATGCACGTTATTGCAAAGGGGATGCTCTAAGAAATTTTCTATAATGCACTTATTTAGCTATATAAAAATAGAGCTGTTTGTCCACTTCGAAAAAATTCGGTAAAGGAATATAGGTTGCCCCCAAAGGTCGGATTTAACTGGATAAATAATCGAATGAACGGTTCGAATTTAGCAACTATTTCAATTTTTACTTTCAATGCCATGCGTAACGCAGGTACCTTTGCCGATGTCCCCTATTCATTAGACATGCATGACAAATTACACACACGCACGCCGTCCCGCCATCCCCACAAAGCCAACGAAATAAATGCCGCACGGGCACATTTACTGGTAGACAATATTTTACTTAACCTTAAACCTGTTCCCTTAGCCTATGTGTGCCCTCTTTTATAGTTAATAGTTATCCCACGTTATGAATCTCGTATATATAAAAATCATCTTTGGGTTTTGCTCAGGTTATGTTGTAATATAATAAGGTAACAGTCCTTCGTGTCCACTTTAGATGTTGCAGTCGTTATGCAGGAAAACAATTAATACGTATGTTCTAAGATTTCGTAAAATTCTATTTTGCAAAAAACGATAAATGCAACAACAGCGGTAAGCAAATGTGATGTCTCCAAGTTTTGGGCAAATTAATTTTATAATTACCGTAGTTTTAAAGTTTACTACGAAAATTTGTGACACCAAATAATGTGTACACGTTTTAGTATATCACACGTTCTCTATTGAAGCATGATTAGTATCGATTGGTTACATTTTGCCATTAAATTTGTCTTCATTAACCTTACCCATTTATGGGTGTTTTACGCGTTTTTTTTTTTTCCTTTTCCATTTATATTGTATGTGCAAAGACTATCAAATTAATCACGACCGAAATAATTTGTAGAAGCTCGTTTCTAAATACAACAGATAAGGAGAAAAAAAAATGGTGTTACACACGTTAACCAGTTTTGTACGAGATTCCATTTAAATGTTTTTCTTGTGTTTTATGTATATTTCTAATGTTCGCTAGTTTGAACTGTTAGTTCGTATTCCGATTTAAATGATTTAGTTATGTAATTAAGTTAGTGTGTTATACTACCAACCTTCACTTGTAACCCTAAAATTACTTATGGGGTCAGTATCCATCTGATAATAGCATACGAATCATACTAAACTGTGGAAATACCACCAATATTGCAGTAAATTCCACTAAATTCTGATGGAGTCTCCTATCCATTTTACATAGAAAATGGGTGGGTGAAGGTGAACCAATATTTTGTCAGGGTTTTTACATTGAGTGTAACAACAGGAAAAAATAATGCAATACATGGGCAACACTAGTAGTGAACGGTATACAAAGAAGTCCAAGACCTTAGGGTTAATAACATGTACTTGTAATATCAATGACGGAAAAATACCAACCTTCAGATTAGACAGCTAATAAAGGTGGCGTTGCCAGTGGGTATGTTTGTTATCTATTGTAAAAATAGGAGAATAGGCTATGTTGTAGAACTTGTATGCTTGTTTCATTTTCGACCTTCGTATATTTATGTACTATCTCATCTTGGAAGAGTGATGTTTTTACTTAAATTTATATTGCACCTAAATAACCGTACTACGTACACCCCCCAGTCTGGAAGTTATGTTAAGGTCGTGTTCTCCTAGTAGCATTTAAAACTTTGAGATATTCGAATATAACTATTGGTATTTAGTTTGACTCCAGTTTCACGCTTCATATTAAGTAATATTTCATAAAACATTTCGACTTCGTATATATTGATATTAGCAATATCCAAAAAACATAGCCCATTACATTTCTAAAAAAAATTAAGGGTTGGGAGAGGAAGGGCAAATGTCATTTTCTATAAAATGATTTCAATGGCCCATCCCCAGTTGATGCCATTGATAACGTCAATGAGAAAATCGTTTTGTTCTGTATATTTTTATGAAAATGTTGTATTATCAAAAACTATATCTACACTACCATAAATGTATTTTTTTTTCCAATTTGAGGCAGTTTAAATTGTAAAATACAAAGGCCATATTATGTACAATTATGGTTTGATAACTTAATCGATCTGAGATTATATTCATTAACAGAAATCTCAGTCATAGTGTAAGATTGCATTGGTTCTCATCCTTTATGGAATCCATTCATGAACACCTACACCGAGATAGGTCTGTATATGGAAGCCTATCTTACAGTGCATAAAAGTGGCAGTACGAGACTTTATTTCCATTTAATAGAACCAGGCATCGGTTTTCTTAAAAAAACAATAATATGGAAACTTGATTTTTCACTGTCATGGACAATACTAGAAAGACAGAGAGAGTGAAAAAACCTCATTTTAAGAGTTTCATATTTACAGTGGAACTATTAATTTCAAGAGTACATATTTTACAATCAAGAAACGTATACCCACAAGTTAAGAGACCAGTAGTAAGATACTAGTATATGTGCATATTCCAAATGTCACAGCCACCTTCCTTTGTGCTCTTTAGTTTGATCATACATTAATAGGAAATGGTTTTCATTTCATTAGCATCAGTATGTACAAACTTGTATTTGGTGGTTAATTACAATAATTATGAACATTCTTCGGTAAGGCACTGATCAGGAGAAAATCGTTCATGTTTTAACGATTGCATGAGGTGAATAATTAGCACATATGCTTTAATTTGTCCATGAAGTCATTCCTCTTCATTCTTATTACAGATAATTCATTGATCTATATCGAATAGGTACTGTGTTAGAAAGAGCCTTCCAGATGATGATAATGAGTTATATTGTACTAACATATAAAGAAAACAGACAACAAAAAAACACACATCTTTGATGTAAAGAATAAATAATCTACATATTAAAATGTTAGAGAAGCACATTAAGTATTATCTTAAGATACATGTAAGTAGTGTGTGCTCCTCTGTTTTACTTTCAGTCAACTTAGATTGATGACAGTTTTTTTGTTCTTGTTTTGTTTTTTTTTACCACCAGGTCCTGGCTGTTAGAAGACTAGAGCAGCTAGGAAGTGACAGGCAAGTCTGATCAACTAATATGTATGTACTGGGCTTCTTTTTGAACTGTGGTTTGGAGTCAGGGGAAGCTCTAAAAGGGGGAGGGTAGTAAAGGAGTTGAAAAAAATTAAAAAAAACCTCTATGAAAGTTTTTTTTTTATAGTTCTAATACAAAGAGTTTCTTCATTTTCTCAACAATTTCACTATATGATTACAGTTGAAAAAAAAAGCATTCATTTTTTTTATTTGGTTGTTTCCAATAATCACTCCTAGCTACACAAAAGCTACCTGTGTATAACTGTCCATAATTTTACACTGATACAGAGTAGGGTGAAGGCACCTAGTCAATAAAACCCAATGCCAATACCTGGGCTACTCTTATCAGAGGGAATAGTGGGATTTGACCATCACTTATAGTGCATCTACAACCCCAAATTTCAGAGGGACATTTTTCAGTAAGGGGACATGAACCTTTAGTGTTAACTTCTAGATCATGACTGGTCTTTCATTTTGTTATTCTAAGAAAGTTATTTTATGACCAAGTGTTTCAAAGTTATTGAATAATTAAAAAATATACTGAATAGTATCAATGTTAAAGGTATTGATCTAGAATGAATTATGGAGAGGAATAACACTTGTACAGTAATTTTTGTGTGTTACTTTTAAAAATGTGTAACACAGCGTTTCATAATGCAGATATAATCACTCAGTTGCTTGAATTCTTTTAACGCATTTCACTCTTATGATGCGTATCCTGAAAACTTTGTATTCTCTGTTTCAGATGCTTTTTTCCTACTCTTTTTCTCTTAATATCTTATATATATTTTGGAAACATTTCATTGTGTTTATCACTTCCTTTATGATACTGACTAACACACTTAGCCTTTACAAATTTAGAGTTGGGTGAGGTTCAATAAAAATGAGGTTATAACACTTCTCTCTTTATTTCAGGCATAATGGTATGGGTTAGCAAATCAAACAGCTGTCAAACAATGGATCTTAGTGTTAGAAACAGAAGTCAGTTTATGTTTGTACCACCTATAATTTTCTCAGTACAAGCAAATATAGTGATTAGTGTATCATTGACAGTAATGATAACCAAATTATCTATCAGTTAATCTACAGTTGATTTCCTCCATAAAGATTTCAGATATACTAAGTGCATACTTACTGTTAATAACTTAAGATCACATATGACTATTTATTAGAATACTTTAACCATGTAAATGATGTTGTAAATTAAAGGTTTGGTATGATCAAGTAGAAGAAGGATTAAGATAATTTAATACTGAATTTCAGTTAATTTGTTTAAGAAAAGTTTTGAATTCATTTGGGCATTATATACTGACAGTACTTATTTTTACTTTCAGATCAGATTACAGTGACATTCTCAACCCACCACTTCCCACAGAAATCATGTCAAGTATAGAAAGCAGTTCCAGTGACTCAGAAGAGAGTAGCTCTGGCTCAGAATCAAAAGAAAGTAATTTGTCTGGAAGAGTTTCTCCAGAATCACCAGCAAAGGTTATTATAGATTTATTGTTCTATAATTATTTTGTAAGGTGTAAGAATATTGCCTTCATTTCATGATTGTAATCTATTGCTTATAGTGCCATAATTAGTTTTTAAGAATAAATGGTAAAAATTTCTGTTTGTGAAAGTAAACAGTTCCAGAATTCAACACAGAGAATTATTCACTATCTGTAAAACAATTTGTATATATCCAGTTACCTTTCCATCCCCATGGTTTATGACTACACTGGTTAAAAGTCCTGAATCTTTTATGAAATTCAGTTGAAGTATTGTGACAGCTAAAATTGCAAGGTTATCATGTACCTTGATAGTGGTTCATAATAAGGATCACAAAGAATTGCATAAAACCTTAATATAACGTTTGGACTAAAAGCACCTTAAACAATAAAGATTCAGTTCAAACAACACTTAAACCTTTACTATTGACTGCTAAGGCTGTAAACATGTAAAAATGCACAAAATAGCAAACATGTTAGACTTACAAGGAAAAGAAAATCTGCTCCAAATGGCCCGTTTGTAATTATTATTATTCTTTTTTTGCCAGCCTAAAACAAAAATGGCTTGGTGTATTGCATCTAAGCCTTTTGTAGAACACTAAATAAGGTACTGCAAAGGTTGTAGACATTATTGAAAAGTTGATTTGTTTCTTCTATATTTTACACAAGCTAAAAACATCACAAGTTTAGTGTAAACATAGTTATAATTACCCCTTGAAGTCAACTCTCTTACAAATATACGTTGTTCCTTTAAAAAACTTAAGTACAGGATGAAACAGGAATTTCCAGCCAATAATAGATGAGCATTAGATGACCATATCGTGTAGATAATCAATGCTTAGTACACTATACATTTGGTGCCTTTAGGGAGCCAACCCCTATATTATGTATGAAATGAAGGAGTAAAAAAACACACTATGAAATTTTATTACACACATTCATAGACACTTCAAAAGACACAAAGCTTTATTTAAAACAATGTTTTAGGTGTATGTGCTTTATTTGAAAAGGCTGTTTTTCAACTTGAAAATTTGCTTTTGTACTCAGTGGGGGTTGTGTTTTAGTCTAGGCATATATTTGCCCATTGCTATGCATTATATATAAAGAACTTGAGTTACAAGAAATTATAAATGCTAACTATATTCTCAAACAAATCTCCACGACAATCTTTCAGCAGCAGCTTGACATTTTACATCTTGAAATAATGTGATCAATAGTTACAGAAAATCATCATGAACCATTTCAGCTAGTTATTAGATATGTTTATTGTCATTACAATGTTTAAAGTTAGCTACCATATCAAGTAAACCTTTGCCCATAGTTGATCATAAAAAAAAAAAAAGCCAATTTAAAATCCTGCAAATAGGGATCATAAAAAGGTATGGAAACAAGGCTGGAGATACCGTAGACATTATTTACTCAAACTGTCAGTCCGTATTTTGACTCCACCCTATATAATTCTAGATAACAGCATGGAACCAAAATAGGGGTTTGTATTTTGAGTAAATAATGTCTATAGTATCTCCAGTCTTCTTTGCAGGTTTTTAAATTCCCAATTTTTTTTTATTTATCTTGTCCTATTATGCAATTGATTATGAAAGCATGCAAGGCACAAAACTAACATTTCAAAGAAAAGAATATTTGCAATGTTGAACTGTATTAGCAAAACAAAAGAAGGTGCAATTCCAGCAGGGAAAAGAAAAACTGGATACTCCTGGACTGGCTATCAGTGGATGTGAATAAAGTTGAACAGCTTGTTTCTGAAAGTAGCCTAAGAACACAGTGGTCCATAACAGATAGTATAAACCTTCCTTGGAACTTTAAATAAGATAATTCTTGCAGAGCTAGGTCTATAAAATAGTACAAGATCTATGTTCATTGCAAGCTCTTCCCCAAATACATAGCTGAATGGAGGATGAACTGTTTATAAGCAGTATGTGCTGTATTTGGCATGTGCCAAATGGAAGTATGTCATCATATTGGAAAAAGCCTACACCTATTTAAGTGTCTCCAGAAGTCCAGATAATTTATTATTACCATGTTGGTGATGCATTTCAGAAGTGGTACAGAGAACATTAGGAATGATGGGGATTGCAGGTTCCAGCTATAATGGTAAATAAAACATCTGGAGAGTCTAGAAAAATGCCAAGGTGAACTCTGCATACTATTGGACTGATGTACTGTGAAGAAAAAATTTTTTTTACTGACTGGATACCATTAAGGTTTGGATCCATCAAATAAAGCATGAAACTACACATCCAAATCAGTATGGCAGTTCTTTCCCAAGATTAAAGTACAAATGGAAATTCATGTTATATCATTTGCAGACTTGTATGCATGCCTTTGGGTTCTCAATAAGAACCTCAGAAGTTATTGTTGCAGATCATTCATGGACTTCACAAGCATTTAAAAAGGAGATGGATGACATTTGACCTCAGTATATTGTACATAAGCCTGCTGCAGTGGAAATTATGATTCAGAACACAACCAGGGCTGGTCCAGCATGGCCAGGTGGTTAGGGCACTAGACTCACAATCTGAGGGTCACGAGTTCAAATCTCTGTCCCACCAAACCTGCTCACCCTTTCAGCAGTGGGGGGTGTTATAATGTGATGGTCAATACCCACTAATCATTGGTAAAAGAGTAGCCCAAGAGTTGGTGGTGGGTAGTGATGACTAGCTGCCTTCTCTCTAGTCTTTCACTGGTAAATTAGGGACAGCTAGTGCAGATAGCCCTTGTGTAGCTTTGCACAAAATTAAAAAACAAACAAACAACCAGGTCTATCACTAGAATACCATTAGTGGTAAAAGCAGCTCTGATCACATTATATTTAGTTTATACTCAAAAATTGACTTATTGTGTACTGCTATGAAGTGCTAATGGCTGAACAAAATTTACCCAGGTTCAGGTTATTCAAAATGTATGGCAGTTTCTCCTGGTTTAAAAAGTGGTTGTGCAGTGACTCAGTACTTTTTGCTTCTGCCTTCAATGCTTTTTATTGGACTTTTTTTTCTTATTTGCATAACACCAACCCCTTTTTTTTCATTTTTGTTAAAGACTTCAAGAATAAATGTAATACAATTATACTTTTTATATAGCTTATCTAAAAAAAATCAACCAATCAACCATAGTACATCTGATAAGTTCTACTTGAAAAAAATATCATGTAGAGTCAAGACTATAGAAATGTATTGTGAATTATTATTTTAAGAATGTTTGCTCACTTTGTTCCTCATGAAAATTTCTGTTTTTGTTTTTCGTTAGAGCTCCCATTTTAGTTTATATTATAACCAATGTTCTTTTTTTTTATGTCAACAGCATAGTACTCAAAGCTGGAGTCTTGCTAACTTTATGGAAAAGAAAGACTTGCGCCCTTTAGCATCATTAAAAGATGCAAATTCAAGTAGTTACCATCATAAAGTTCAACATCCTGTGATGAGCAATCAACAGAATATCACACTGGATTTGGCTGATAAAGATTCTGTTAATTGGATTCTAGGAAAATATTCTAGTGATGATATTAAGGATTATTTACAAAGGTTAGTGTTGTCTAAAGTACTAAAGAAATATATCAATACTATTTTTAGAAATAATATTAAGCTTGGTTTTGATAATGCTTCCAAGTATTAGTTTAGGTAACTGTGGTAACGTACAACACCAATAAATAGTCAGTCATCAATATTCAAGTTATCACAACTTTGTTTTAGATGTTTTATCAGTTGTTTTTGTTATCATTGATTGCAATAATTCACAGTTTTACTTTAATATAGGTTTTTAAATATGATATTAAAATGTACACAAACAAATATGATAGCGTACCTGATGAACTCTTCACTATGAGGTTTCAAATGTTGGTGGGTTTTTTTGTTATCTATTTTTTTCTCTCCATGAATTGTTTTCTCTTTTGTTCCAATAAATTGTGAAATATGGGATTAAACTAAAGAAAAGAAAGAAACATGCGGTACACTACATACTGGCCTACTTACTCTGAGGTTTTATACTTCTTCCACACTATTTACATTTGTAAAATTCTGCAGATATTTTGGTTAATTGTAAAACATGTTGACAAACAAAATTGTAGAATTACATCAGTTGTTTCCATTATACAGTTTTTTAATTCCCCAGACAATAACTCACTTCCACACACATTTATGATTAAAGTTAACTGATAATATCAGATAAAAGTTTTGTTGCTGTATGTGTATAGTTCAAAGAAGAAAAATGATGTTAATGGAAATTTTTTTCTGTTTGTTTGTTTGATGAAAATGAAATACAGAAATTCTAGAGTAGGATGCATTAAATGTCTTATGATATTGTAATTGAATAATGCTGTGAAACTGTTTTAAATAACACAGAACTTATTATTTCCTTTATACTTTTTTTTTTGGTTAAACAGTCCAAGCCCTAACTTACTGGATTTTGATTCTGAGGCCTTGTCACCAAACCGCGAGGGCCAGCTGTTGTTGTCACCCATTATTTCATCACCACTGCTAAAAGAAGAAGACACTGAATCAGAAAAGGATGCCTTAAATACACATCTTTCTGAGGAAGAAAAGTGTAGAAGTGAGATACAAAGAAACAACAATATCAGATGGTTAGAAAAGAACTATGGCAGTGAAACTAAAGGGGCTTTTGCTGATCAGGAACACTGTGTCAAAGTACAAGTACATACAGGGAAAACAGAAGAAAATCTTAATATATCAGAGAGTGAAAAAAGTACAAATATATTTTGTAATCAATATAGTTCAAGCCTTTCTTTTACTCCCGAGATGTCCAGCTCAACTGTGTCTAGAGCCGATAGTACAGTGAAAAGTTCTAGGCCAACAAACAAGTCTACTATATATGATTCTCCATTGCATAGTTCAAGTAGTAATAACTCCTATAAATATTTAACTTCATTTAAGTATAGTCAAGAAACCATACAAAATAACCATTATAAGACTAAAAAAACAACAGCAACTAGTAAAAGCCCACAAAAGCTTTTGTGTGATGGTTATGTAGATAAAAGTATTGCCAGAAAAGAAATCTTTAAAATGTCTGACCATAAAATGAAAAATGGATCAGGGAGGTTCACAGTGGCAAAGTCTGCGAGTTTACATTCTGAAAAAAAATCTCATAAGCAAAAACCGAAAAGAATGGTGAAAAGAAACACATTAAAAATAAAATCTCAGGAGATTATCCAGTCAGATTCATCAGATTCAGATGAACATGAAACATTTATAGCTCTAAGAAACGTTTCATCCAATGTGAAAAATATTGACAATGAGAAATTTTCTTTAAAAGAAAAATCACCTAGTGTTACCTCTAGTTTGTCCAGAAGACATAGACAAAAAATTAAGAATGGAGATACCCATATAATTTCTACTAATGTATCAAATTCGTCTCATTTAACTGACGTGATTAATGGTGTAGCTAAAGGAGACTTCCTGTGTTTAGACAGCTGCTCAGATAACGAGAAGCATGTGCCATTAAATGGAGAGAGTAATCTACTGACCAAGTCATTTGACTATACAACAATGCTTAACTGTGAGAATCCCATTAAAATGGACTCGGCCATAATTCTCTCACCCATTCATAATGGGAGGACACCTAAAGCTCTTCCAGAGCACAAAGAAAATGCCATTCCATGTGTTCTAGTGAATATTAATTTAGGTCTTATAAACCGAGTGCCTGTATATCCACCAATAGACAGGACTATATCTGGTAAAGAAAAAGATAAAATTCAATCAAAAGACTCTATCAAATCCAGTCCAAGGGAACATTTGAAAGAAATAAAAGATTTGAATAGAAAAAGTGTTTGTTTAAGTCCTATGTGTGATAACCTATCATCAGTAAAGAGTAAAGAGATAAGTACTCAATCAACACCTAAAACTCAGAAGCGAAAAGCTGAAGAAGATAACAGAGGGAATGAAAAGAAACACAAAATGTCTGCCACTGCCAGTATACCCCCAGAAGCACAAGTTACTGTGTAAGTAGGTTAATATTATTTTTTTGCTGATGTTATTTGCTTTTAAAATGTTGTTAATTTTAATACACCTGTAATTTGATCTAGACGCAGATACAGTCATATAATGTCAAGTCTTTGTAAAATATAAGTAATGTGGTAAGGGACAAGCATGCTCGCTCATGTTTTGCATTTTCTGTAGGTGAAGATTTGTGCTAATGCTTTATGCCCTTGTCTACCGTCTGTAGTCTGCTTTGTTTGTTGATGACTTCGTTGCAAACTAAAGATGAATAAATGCTTCAAATTATTTACTTCTAATCTTTGTCAATCTTATGTACAGTTAACACAAAATTTGATATGATATTAAAGCATAATTATTTTGTTATAAACTTCTGGGAGCTTTTCTCATGTAATACTTTTTTTAGCTATTTTCTACATAGTGCAGGCAATGGAACAATGTTTATATTTGCAATAAACACATGCTGAGCATTATTTTTGCCAGTGGTTTATGTGCAGTATCATACCCAAGTATTTTTCAATTTTTAAAATCCATATTGTTTTGGTATTCCAAATACTCAAACGTAGGAACAAATAAAAGCATCAATTCATTACAACGATGATACTGAATTGCATAGTTTCGGGTCAACTATTAAAAAGAAAATTCATGGTTAAACCTTGTTGAACCTGCACTTTTACCAAGATTACAGAAGTAGCTGAATAATAATAATAATAAAATGTAATAAAATTAAAAGATATGAATCTTTTCTGATACAGTACATTACTCCTCTCACAGAAATAGATATTCTCGTTTAGTGCTGCCCCCTATATGCAAAAACATTTTTTCGCTAGCCTTGAAGCTCCCACCCATCTGGAATCTACCGATTCCAATGCGTCTTGCATGCAAATCCTCATGCGACAACCCTCCATCAATAAGAGTGCAAAACATTCTCTTGATGCATGTGACTCCCTCTATTCAGTTCTACCGAACTATCACTTCTCGTTTTTTTAGTGCTCTTCGTATTGTTCGAATTCATGAATTTATATCGTTAAATTTCCGAAGTAGAATTTCTTCATTAATCGGTTCTTCTTTACCAGTTGACGAATTTTTCAGATAACTTAATTTCCCAGTCTTTTTTTTTCTCTGTTTTTTTAATCAAACATTTGTGTTTGATTTTTGTATTTCAACTATGAATTCTGAGGTTTATGTTACCATTTTGGTTATCATACCTCCTACTAGCACAACCACACAGGCTGCAGGTGGGTGGTAATCAGTCATTGGATTTGTTGGCTATTATTTACTGTGAGATTGATTGTTATATGGGTCAACCTACTTCTCCTGAACAGGCCAACCTGTTCAGGCTGACAAGGACTTTGACAGCCTTTTTCCACCATTGGATTTTGCCGTGTTTTCCTATGCCCCTCCTGTGGAATCAGCTAGGCCTAATACTTCGTTTTTAGACATGATTTTTCATGTATGTTCTGTTTTATCCATTTCCCCCCTACAATCCCCGTCCTTCATTGTTGCATGATACCTCTTTATCTCAGTATTTGGTTTCCCCCCTTCCCCGGATATTAAGGTTCATGCTGAGCATTTTGTTTCTCAGTTGGTTAAAGGTGCCAACATGCCTTGTCCTTCCACAGGCTTCGGATCAGTTTGCATTCGCTTACCATCTGGCTGAATGTCCATTTCTTGACTCTCAGCAGTTGGAGTCGATTTTACCAGTGTGTGGGGCAGATGCTGATATTTTCCTTTGTACTTATCTCATACTCGATTTTCCCGCCTCCGTCTTATCCTTACTACTCTTTTACTGTACTTATCTACTATTCATCTTTTTTCTGAGGGGATTCACAGAGATCCTAAGGGTATTCGAGAGAGAGCCTCTCCCTAATAACCTCTACATTGGCATGTTTGTCATTTCCAGCTCTCGCTTTGCACACGTGGTTTCTCTGTTGTTGGGATCTCCTGAGTAGAGATTTCCTTGTTCCAGGTTCGTTTATCTCCTCCTTATCTCAGGGATTTATGTGTGGCCCCTTTTCTTCAGCAGTATGTTTTTGTTAATGTTCCTGATACTTTAGAATCATGTGTGGAATCAGTGCTCTACCCTTTCTTCTTTAGTTGTCACAGTCTGAGCCGAGACATGCCCCTATTACTGTTTCTCGTCCTAGTGCTTCTCAGCCTTTACCTGTTCCTCCCTCCAGGGGGTTCACCATCTCGTTATTTTATTCAATGTAGATAGTCACGTCACCAACAGTATTGGTTACCTGATTTTGTTTCCCTTTAGAGCCTTTTCACTCCAGAACTGTGGCTTGTTTGCAGTTTATCTGAGGGACTTATCATACAAATCATTCTCGAATACCCATTGCCTTGGGATCCTACCACCAGTCAATGTCTGTCTGAGGTGGTACAAGACCTTCTTATCAGAGGTCAATCATCTTTCTCAAGGTTTTTATTCCAGGCTGTTTGTCATTCCCAAGAAAACCAGAGACTTACAGCCTGTTATATATTTGTCCCACCTCAATCACTTTCTGGTTCTACTCTGCTTTAACATGGAGTTATTTCTCATCCCCAGGTAGGCTTTTTCTCCACGTTTGTAGATGACCAAGGTAGACGTCGCGAATGCTTATTTGCATATCCCGATATCTTGTCTGTCTCGATACTATCTTTGATTTGTTCATCATGGGTAGTTTATCAATTTTGCACCCTGCCCTTCGGGCTTGCTTTGGCCTCCATATATTTTTGTCTGGTGGTCAAAGCATTCGCTTAACACATGCTCAAGGGTTGCACTTCCATTATTGCATGGACGACTGGCTTCTATCAGCTCATTCTGAACAGGAGTTTGCCCATCACACTCATTAGCTGCTCCTAGAGGTGGCTCATGTGGGCTGGTTAATCAAAGTGGAGAAGTCGTTCCTTATATGTACTCAATATCTTGTCCATTTGGGTGTTTTTCAACACCCATCTCAGTCAGGCCCAACCTTCTCCTCTTCGACTTTGTTCAGTGGAGCTATCAGTTCTCCATGCCCTTACTGCTCCCTCTATTACAGCTCGTGAAGTTCTATCATTTTGGGGATGTGGTCTTCCATAAAAGCCCTCATCCCCTAGGGTCGTGCACATATGGGGTCTATTCAGTAGGCTCTACATGGCCAGTGGAATCTTGCACATGATCCTTTGGACTCTCCTATTTCCCTTCCTCCTTCTCTTGTTTGCGATCTGCATTGGTGGTTGGACAAGACTTGCACGTCAGCGGGTGTCCCACTTCCTCCTGCTCATCCAGATTTACACATCTTAACGGGCACTTCCCTTTAGGGCTGGGGTTGATCAACAGGAAACTTCAAGACATTGGTCTCCGGCCAAAAGATGTTATCATATCAATATTCTGGAGCTTCTGGCTGTACTTCGTACTTTGGTACATTTTTTTTCATCTTGTCAGAAATTGTCTGGTAATGATCCATTCCGACAGTTCTATAGTGGTTTCTTATCTTAATCACCAAGGTAGTGCCCATTCTCGATTCCTTTGTTTTTGTACTTTGGATCTTATTTTTTGGGACTATGCGCTTGATATTTGTATCATTGTGTGTCATGTTCTGGATGCATTCAATGTTGTTTCAGATCGGCTTTCCCGTCCAAACAAAGTCTATCCGACAGAGTGGTATCTTGATCTTCCTGTTTTCCAGTGGCGTTGCATTCAGTGTGGTACTTCTCATGTGGATGCATTTGCCACATCCCTCAACACCAAGTTACCATTGTACTGGTCTCTGGTTCCTCATCCTCCTGCTCTGGCTGTAGAAGCTTTCAGTCAGGATTGGACCAACAAATATCTGTGTGTTTATCCTCCCATACGTCTTCTTCACAGGGTGATCTTGATCATCCATGCCACTCCATATCAGGTCCTTCTTATTGCTCGTTACTTGCCAGTGCAACCGAGGTTCCCATGGCTGCTCCAGCTCTAATATACCTCTCCATTACCTCTTCCTCGATCCCTTCTGTGTTCACCTTGGTTACTGGTGTTTCATCCAGCCTTTCCTCTCCTCCACCTTCAAGCCTGGTTTGTATCTGGTTCTTGGTGATGAGATCCTGTTAGTCCTGATGGTTAGCTTCTTTTTTAGCTTGTTCTATGTGCCTTTCCTCTAATGAGGTTTATCAATGTTAATGGGACATTTTCAACCATTGCTCTTTGGGTCAGGGGTTTTTACCCACTCGACCCACTGTTTCACATTTTGGATTTCCTCACTTTGCTCTTTGATTGGGGGGTTTTCTGACTCCCACACTTTATTTTTCGTTGTACTGTAGAGTGTTTACCTCTCTTACTCTTTCCTTCAAGATTCATTGTCCACCTCAGCGGGGTGTTCTTCTGCATTGGGATGTTAATGTGGTCCTTGACTGCCCCATTTTGCCTCCATTCAAACCAGTCTTCATGCTATATTTTACCTCTTCCTTAAGACTAATTTGTGGACATTAGAGGTTAGATTTATTTGCCATTGACGTTTCATGTACAATTTATCATTCCACATATGTACTCCTTTATCTATATTGTTTTTCCTTCCCAAAACTTTGGGTAATTCCTCCTTTTCCTTCCTTCCTTCCTTTCTTTTCCCACCTTTATCCTCGTTCAGATCCAGATAAGTTTCTATGTCCTGTATGTGCTCTTTGCTGTTATATTGCCTGCACAACTTCCTTCCATGGTGCCTGTTCCCGCATCTTTATTTCTTGGGAGTTATCCTCTGTTCAGGATCTTTTTCCAGTCCAATGTCAGAAGTAAGCCCTTAGAAAAGACATGTCTCAAATTCACATTAGTTTACTATAGCACAAAAGTAAAATGTGGGCAATTGTGCACACAGTTATAGCCCAATACATGCATCATTCGGCCATTTCTTTCTTCTTTGGCTATTACTTGCTATCCGTCACCATTCTCCATGCATTATTTCAACTATGAAATGGTAAATTTTTCCATTTTATTTTTTTCCTGTCCAGTGGCCTTTTCTCCTTTCCTGGATCCTGCTTTGTGGCGAATGGTGCCTGTCCA